GGGACCCTGAACAATTCCCTGCGTTTTGCTCGGRAATATTTCTGTCTAAACCCCTTTTTACCAGCAGAGGCCGATATGTCCATGTGCTTGGAGGCAGCGAGCTCGCACCAAAACCCACGGACACGCTGAAACCTTTCCAGCCTGCCTGAGACGCTCTCTGTACCCCAGCATCCCCAAATTGCTGCTCCCTGCGCTGATGGGATTGCCGGGCAGATGTTGTTATTTTAATTGGAAAAAAAATAAGAAAAGGTATCGAGTAGCCAGCTGGGGTGGAAAAAAAAAAACCAAAACCAATACAATCTGACGATAGGCACTGTGAAGTTTGATCAAACCTGCCATGAATGTGCTGCAGCACAGCAGCTCCCCAATTCCTCTGCCCAGCCTGGAGCAATCCTGTGCATGGCTCATGTGCATGACAGAAAAATTGAATGTCTCAGCTAAAGGAAAGCTTTGCTGTTTATTTTTTTGGCAGTAAATAAATTAATTTTCCGAGGGAGATGGGCTCTGTATGTACATAATAAGTATGTGGTGTGCTGGGCATCGGGGAGTACTTCCAGCAAACTGTCCAGAGATGGAGGCAGAGCCTGCTTTAATGCCAAGAGTATGCACAGAAAAAAATGTGAAATCTGAGGCTGTGTGCCCAGTGTTTCAAACACCCAGGGGAGAGCACCGTGTGGTTCAAACTCACCCAAAGCCCTGTAACTGGAGGTCAAAGTTGCCCTTTTTTTTAACATTATGCCTCAACCTGAGCTGCCCGCTGAAGCCACACGGGAGGCAAATGGAAACAGCTGGTTCATAAAACATCAGGAAAAGTCCTTTCCTTATATCTGATTTATGTGCTGCTGTCTGTCCCTTGCAGCCACTTTGTGTGCCTTCTTCTCCACGGGCTGTGTTGGTCACCGAGAGATCACTTAAACACACACTATGCATGCAGACACCAACCTTTTTATTTGATTTTTTTTTTATTATTTTTAATTGCCCCCAGACTGTGAAAGGAAAATGAAAAAAAAAACAATCTTCCCTAACCATAAGTGCAGAGCAGCATGTATTGAAAAACAACTTCTGAAACAGGAGGCTTCCCTGCATCTGCCTCGGGAAGGAGACTGGAACAAATGTTCCCAATGTTTCTTTGGGATGTGTCAGCTGTGTTCAATGGCACATGGACATGGACATCTGGATTCTATGGTAATCAATGCAAAATAGCAACAACAGAGAAGAGAACAAGCTGAAGAAAAGGTGTCTTTGTGCCTTGACTAATATTTATGTAGTAATTTTTGTTACCAGCTGTATAATATCATTACCTAATAATKGGTAATTCCAGGTTAAGCAATATAAAGATTTTGACACCTTAGGAAAAAATGGTTTCAGGTGAGTCAGGACCTCAAAAAGCCAAATTTTGACCTCTTATACTCCACTAAATTTGTTCTAACTCGAGAAGTCTCCCTGGAACATGATGCTCTGCTGGGTTCTGGYCTGAGCCTTTTTGGGAGGGAGGATTTGGGGGAATCTCTTGCTGCGTGCGGGGTTAGAGTACAAGCCCATATAAACACTGTTGACAGTTGTAACTAATGGCTCTCACCGATAGCTTGGTTTCTTTCCTGGTAGTTCTTTATGCACCAATAAATCCTATTGTTCTTTTCCCAGCTGTTATTCACAAAAAGAACAAAAGAGAGATGGAGCGTTCTCGGCACATTTCTTTTTAATTAAAATAAAACGGCAGACGAAGGGAGCGTGTGGAGCAAAGTTTGAGTGAGACGTGGTAAATGTCTCCTCTCCCCCATCACTTCAGCCTGTTTGATGGAGGGGATTGATTTCTGGCTTTTACCTGAGGTTGTGCTCTACTGCACCAGGAGAAAATGAAGTGCAAGGCTGGATTATCTCAGAGGGATGGTTCTCTGCTGGTGCTCGTCCTGGGGTTCCAGGRTGCTTTTAGTGCCTCAGATCCTTCTTCATGACACGTGAGGCATTAATTGCAATATTCCTGCARAGTAGCTGGGTCTTGGCCCTCGCTGGGGCTGCACCAGCCTGAGGCTGCTCCCAGGGGTGCCATGAGCATCCTGAACCTGAATCTCCCAGGGCAGAAGGAGAAAAATGCATTTCTCCTGCTACAACAGCTCTGCTGTCAAAGGCTGATAATTTTTTTGTTCTCAGTGAGGTTGGTTTAACCCTGGCACAGCAGAGCTGTGGCTGCCCCTGGGATCCCTGGCAGTGTCCAAGGCCAGGCTGGACCTTGAGGCACCCTGAGACAGTGGAAGGTGTCCCTGCCCTTGGCAGGGTTATCTTTAAGGTCTCTTCACACCCAAACCCTTCCATGACATTCTGCATTTTGCTGCATAGAACTGGAGCTGCTGGGAAAGGCAGCTCTCAGGGACTCGATGTGATGAAGTGTTTGCCTTGTGAAAGCACAACAAAGATATGAGCTTTGCTTTTCTCAGGGATTCAATGGGTTTCATTTTTCTGAAGGCACGTTTCTAGTTTGTGCCGTGGAATTTTTTTTATTTTTATTTTTTTCCTCACTGGAGAGGGCTGGCTTTCCCACAGCCAAAACCCAAATCCATCTCCCGAATTTAAGCTGAAATATTTACGCCTGCAATTTCTGCTGTGTGCTGATGCTGTCCCAGAGAGGGGAGAGGCAGCAGTCAGGGATACACTGAGCTGCAAAGCATCTGTCTGGGGAAATGTGCTGCATCATCAAATATCCCTGCAGGATCCCTGGGATCCTCAGGACTGGCAGCATCCTGGACAGTGCCAGTGGAGCCCCAGGTGACTGCTGAGACTCTCATCCCATGCCTGCTCTCAGAAGTGACAYGCAGAGCTCCACTCTCTGCCTTTCTGCTGCTTTCCAGAAAATAAGGACGTGGGAACAATCAGGGTACTTCAGGCACGATGCAGGTCCTRTGGTGCTGACATTCCAGGATTTTGGCAAGTGGGAGCTGTATCGTGAGGGAAAACAGTGATTATTTTATTTTCTTTATGATTTTAAGAGCCTGGGAAAGCCACTCTCGTGTTTAATCCCAAACCTGTGCTTTAACCTACTTGGAASCTCTCCCTGAATAATCCACTTTATGGTTCTTAATAGCAAGAATTTCATTCAGCAGACAGAGACCATTAAAAATACGGTACTTTCTACAATATTATCCACATAAAATTGTTGGAGACTGTGCCAAACAACTGCTAAGGAGTGGGGGGACAGACCCACACCTACCCTGCAGCCTCTGGTGCTCTCCACCCACTTCTTCCCCTGGCAGTGTCACTGCCATCCTGCATGGGCTGCCACCAAAACATCTGTTCCTCGTGTTCCTGATAACCCAACACTGCTGCCATCCCCTCCTCAGGCTGGGTCATGGAAGCCCCCAGTTTTATCTACCAAGAGTTTTAAATCATGCACATGAAAGACCTAACGTGGATGAAGCCTCTGACTCACTGATAATACATCATTAACCTGGGCAGCACACCATCAAGCAAATCACATTTAATTTATCACTTGAGGAAGCTGTGGGCTGAGTTATCCCACAGACAGAGTGGGTGGTGGCAGGAGGTTCTGCATCATCATCTTGCAGCCCTGCCATAAATCCAGCTCTTCCATTTCTGGGATTTAATGCCAGGCTGACTGCCCTGCTCGCTTTGTGTACGCTCAATCTCCACTGGAGAAATTCAGTGTGGTTTTCTATACAATAGTTTTTTATTAAACTTAATTTTCTCTGATAAAGTCCRTAACAGCACCTTTGAAGAAAAGAAAAAAAGATATTACTTTTCTTTTCTGCTCTCATTCTGTCAGACTTTAAATCATCAGCTCCTGACTGCAGCAGAGATTGATCCAATCTCATGGAGTTTGTCCTTCCCTTATCTGCTGTGAGAGCTTGCTGGAACCCAGGGCACAARTGGGGTGCTGGGCACAGTTTATGCTGCAGTGTCCTTCCAACTGTGCTGTTACATCATTTATTTTTCCCTATCTCTCCTCAATATTTGCCCCTGGAWGCAGTCAGATGGGCATATTTGTGCTTGTGCTCCGTTATTAATCTCAGTTTTGTTTCTGTTTGGCTGGCCAGCACGGGCTGTTATCAGGACACCTTGTATCCAGCCCACTCAGTGKTTTTTTTTCTGACTGCTGTATTTATTTATGATCAGAATTTGGAGGTTTTGGTRGCAGATACAGCCCAGTGATGGGCTGGAGGAAGTGGGCGAGGAGAGCATTGCTAATCCTGTGACATCTCCAGGCAGAAGTCCTGGAGGTGTTTGTCTTCTCTGGTCATTGGCCTGGCTAGTCAAAAGAGAAAAAAAAAAAATAATCCATGTGAAGTTGAGACCACTGTTATCAGTAAGGTGATCCTGACACCATGAATAATGGAGAGGAAATGCAGACCAGTGAGATATGGTTGCTTGGTGGGGCTCCTTTTTCACCTGCCCATCTGTCTTATAACCACATGACTGGGCAGCACTAAGTAATTTTTCATGAGGTTTCTGAAGCTGCTACATGCTCTGAGGAGGAGAAATGCCTTTGTTTTCCCCTGCCCTGGGCTGGCATGTGAAGGACAGGGAGCAGCTTGACCACGTGCCCCCATCTGACTGATTTTCCAGGGAGCTGCAGCCTTGATTGGCACGTCCTGATACCCTAGACCCAGATTGTCAACTGACCCTGAGWGGAGGCTGAGGCAGCTCTGAAAAAAGAGGAGAAAGTTCTCAGCACACGCCGATGAATAAATAATAATAAGGAAAAGGAGARAAACCCCAAAGGCAGGAGGAGAGGCAGAAGGGAGAGGAAGGTGCCTCAGTTAAGGTGAAGGAAGGCAGAAAGGGGCAGAAGGAGAGGGGGATTAGGAAGGACAAGGGACTCCAGGACATTTCCTCTGAGCCAGTGYGGAGGAAGGACACTGTGAAACAAGGGCAGCCAGCCCCAGGCAGGGAGAGGAAGACTAAAGGACTTTGGCAACTGGAAAGGTGGCAGAAGATTAAAGCTATCCCAGAGTGCTGTTGAAAGGGCAGGGGTGCAAAACAATGACATGAAAGAAAAGACTGAAAAGAACAAAGCAGAAGAGGAGGAAGAGGAGAACGAGAAAAAGGAGATAGTGGAAGAGAAAACTAAGGAACGTGGGGAAGATGAAAGCCAGGAGAAAAAAAGCAAAGAGAAATCAAAGTCCGAGGACACAGAGGCTGATGGGGAAGTGAAGAAAAAGAAAAAGGAAAAAAGCAAGCGAAGAGAAGACAGCAGTGAGGAGGAAGATGACTACGAGCACAGAAAGAAAAAGAAGAAAAAAGGCAAGAAAGGCAAAGACAAGAAGAAGAARGGTGACAAGTCCAAGAAAGGAAAGATAGATGACAACTTTTTGGAGATGTATGAACAGGAGCTTCGGGACTACCATTCGGACTCTTCCAATGCCGCAGAAGATGAATACAACAAAAAAAAAGGTCAGCTCCATCTGTCCCCATCTTCCCTCTTGAGCARGCACTGTTGGCCCCTCAAACGCCCTTGCTGGGATCCTTCCTGGGGAGCAGGCACTAGTTATTCCTACRTGGGAAATATTTTTATTTAAATAAGTATTTTAACTGTTGGAGGAGTCACTGGCAGGCTCTGCCTGCGCGAGCTTTTCTGCTTACGAAGCCGCTTTGCCACGTGTGCGGTACTGCTGTAATTACATTCTCCTAATTAATATTTGCACTGTGGGGCTGTGCAGGAGCTGCAGTCAGTAGGCTTCCCCTGTGTGAGCAGGATCCAGAGCAGAGCAGGTCCAGCAGGAGGAGATGATGGGGATTTCAGCAGTCGGATGGGTGGGCACTGGAGCTCTTAGGACTGATGGAGAAGCAGGAGATCCACCTCACTGAACCTCAGGCTGCTTTAAAGCAGCCAAACAGGCTGGGAAAATATCAATAACAGCCTCTAAACCTTAATTCTGGGTTGCTACAATAAATGGTCCTCTTGTTTCTCATGCAGATAGATTGTACTTGATTCCACGCATGGTGGTGGTTCAAACCTTGGTGCCTCAAATTGCTCCAGAGGAGGTTTGGATTRGATATTGGGATAATTTCTTCACAGAAAAGGTTGTGAAGCCCTGGCWCAGCAGCCCAAGGCTGTGATCATGTCCCCATCCCTGGAAGGGTTTAAAACCACGTTTATTTGTCACTTGGACACACGGGTCAGCGCTGGCCTGGGCAGTGCTGGGGGAATGGATGGACTCAATGGCCTTGGAGGGCTTTTCCAARCCAAAAGATTTTGTGATTCTGTGACTTCAGGTTTTAGATGATTCACTCAGTTTCACTAGAAGAACACAGTGTAGCTCCATGATTAAAAGAAAAAACCTTGTTTTTGAGCAGTACACAAAATCTGTTTGTGACGGCCCTTGAGGGGGAGGGAGGTTTTCCTGCCTGATACTACATGTTTTTATACAGCTGAGGAATGATAATTTGCATTTTTCAAAGACAGAAGCTACAGCAAATGTTTCTAATAATCTCTCCATGGTTATTGATACTAGACATWGGSAAGGAATTGCTGKCTGKGAGGGTGGGGAGTGGCAGTGTCCAGGTTCAGGGTGTAGAGGGTTCCAGCTTTTCCCTTCCCCGTGCATCATGCTGTTCTTACCATTTTGAGTCAAAAAATCAGAATTTTTTGGAGGCTGCTGCTGCTTTTGTCCCAAAGGGCCATTGAGTGAARTGACTGCTGTTGAATCAGGCTTTGGAGAATGGTGTAACCTCTTCAAAAGCTTTGGGGATGTCAGCTGMATTTGGTGCTGGTGAATATTCAGTAGAGATATATTTCAGTCCACAAGCTGTGATTCCTTTTGCTGTAAAAAAAAA